TTTTCGTAACCAGAGGATATTCACGCTGGACGTATATCGCAATAACACATCTTTCTTTAATCCAATAGTCCGTATGTGCCGTCAATATAATGAATACGTTAAACATAATGCTGATATTGATATATTTAATTGTAACAGAAACTTGTTTATTAATACAATTAGAAAACTTTTACCATAATGTAATGATTAATTTGTTTTATGATTTAATTCGCTTTGTCTGATTAATTTTAGAGTAGGTAATAATTTATTATTTTAATTTGATTTGTGATCATTAATTTATTTTATTGAAATTGTAATTACAATTCTTAATACTATTTAATTATATTCCAAATACTTAATTTTTGAAAATTGAAAAGTTAAATTGTAAAATAACACGTTTAGTTATTATAAAAGACACATGCTGTTGGGTTATGATCAGAATCGAATAACTTGTTAATACTATTTGTAATGAAATTGATTGTAATCTGTTATGTGTCGTAAATAAATAAATAAATAAATAAATAAATACCTTTAATATATTCCCTACAGCAGTTGAAAACGTTCATAGCATAATACTCAAAATATTGGTTTATATCATATTGTTATAGTAAAATACTGTTATTTGTTATGCTATATAACTGTTATACGTTAATATAATATCACAATAACGTTATTAGTTGGTTAGTAAATAATTATATAACGTACTTGCTGTCAACGTTAATTGAATGATCGAGGACTTGGGGACAACTTCAGGATGTTTGCTAGTTGTTATATAATTGTAATGTTTATTTCGGTCCCATTCGGACCGAAATGGGTCTCGTATGGCAATTGTATAATTGCCATACGGGACTATAAAATGCAAAGAGTTTATATATTTTAAATAATTTGACTTTGCAAATAATTAATTAGGATATGCAATAGAGTTCTGTATCATGGGCCCCAGTACCCTGTGGTACACTGTGACAATCTAACGATATCGTTATATATCATCATCATTATTATTTCATCCACTGCTGGACATAGACCTCCACCGTTACCCTCAATTTTGATTAAAAAGGTTGCAAACGGTTTGCATCCAGTGAGATTTGAGAATTTTTATAAGGTCATTTGTCCATATTGTGATCATATGTTCACCTGTACGTGATCTCTTTGTAAATTAATAAATATTTGAAAATATCACCACATGCATTTTTTGAAATCTGAAACAACGAAGGGGTACCACAACACCTATACCAACAAGCAATAAAGAAATGTTCATTTTCTATAATTTAAACATAAGTTGTATGAGTCTTGCAAAGAATCTGCATCTTCAGTTTGCACTAGAATACTTGTATTTAAATGTAACCAACGATATTGAGTTTACAATAAGTACAATAAATCCTAATTTATATAACTCTTAGCATTAAGTTTATTGTAAACTTGTTTGTGGTTCATAAATAAATAAAAAAATAAAATAAAAAATATTGACGTGACTGGGAATCGAACCCACGTCCTAAAACAGGCGTATGTTCCACTAGGTTATGCAGTGCAATTTCTTCCAACGTTCCTCCAGGTGTATTCCCTGCACAATGCTGTTTTAGCTTTCTATACCAGTCAATAACGTCGTTAACTTTCTTTCATCTCCGAATCTTGTTTTTTCTGATCCTATTAATTAGTAGTAGAACTCCGATCATAACCCTCTCTCTACTTAAATCTGCTTACTTTTGCTTGAGCTTACTTTTAATGCCAAAAGTGAGAAACTACGCCTCGATCAATCGACAATTGCAGATTTTTTAATTCTTTATTGCAATCCCACCAAAGGCCTGTCTTAATGCCGTACGGTATTCTCCAGCAATTGGGCCTTACGGTTGACAAATTTTTAGATTAATTATTAAATCTATGGTGTCCAAATCAAATAAACCATAGAGGGTAGCGCGACAAAGAGATTAAATAGACAAAAAGTTATTTAAGCGTTTTGAATTGAGAAGCTATGTAAGTTTCTTTTTTAAATTAGATTGTCTTATATTTTATGGATTTCATATGTTGTGTTGTAAATTACACAGCATTCGTGAAAGTCGAAAATCTAGGCCATCAGTTCGTAAGTGTACGGCGGGAGACCTTGTACCTTGAAGAACCGGCCAGAAACTCGGCAACGGCTGCCTTTTTCTCCTTGCTTTATTTTGTTAAATATTTTTACAACACAATGTCTTCTATTGTTGATTACTTAGTGTTCATTATAACTGTTGGCAACAATCTATCTTGTTTATGTAGATCAAAGTTAATACCCGTCTCTTAACAGATACATTAAAATGTACCATTCTTCGTTTAATAGCTCGTAGTTTCACACTAAATGCAACTGTAAATTTATCGAATAACTGTTGTTTATAAGTGTGATGATATTTTAATTATAATGAGTTTTCTCGCGGCTTTGCCCGATTAACATAAAGCCCATATCATATAGCTTGATTACGTATCGGTTTAAGAAAAGGGGTCTCTTCCCTAAATTAGTTTGGTAATCCCTGGGTCATACAGACAAAATTACTTTCGAGGTAATAATATTAGTAAGGGTAGCTGTTCTTAAACATTCGGTCAACGTATGTATGTATTGTTTGTGACGTCATTGTTACATTATAATCCAACAGTAAACTACAATGTTGTTAGTTTGTGCTGTTCCCTCGATATAGCGACCATAAAACGCTGGTTTCCTTAACAGCGCAGTTAAGAGTTTTGATGCGGCACATACTTTGTAGCAGTTGTAGCCTGAACTTTTGGAGAGGTCGACGGACTCGTATAATGTTTGTGACGTCATCTATTATAAACGACCTGGGGAAATTTTCCAAATTTTATCCTATGTGATCTCGCTCAGATTGATTATGTTATGTGTTGATTGATGCCAGATTGAAATTGATCACATATTATCCAGAGAATTTGGTTTCTGTCATCAATCTGCAACTCCTATCAACTGATTTACTCTGGTATGCAATCTCAGTGTCAGTTTCAATCCAATCCAATGATCTTAATTTCTCAATCTTAGCCCGTACTCTTGAAACATAGACTTAATTCGTACTCTCTTATGTCAATTAGTTAATTCTATAGCCACGCAATATTGAGCTGATTGGCGCTAGTGTATAAAATCAAGAAAACGAAACGTCATAATTACAATGTCTATCAATCGCGATTGCGTTAAAAAGTAAGTATGCAAATCAAGACCCAGGTTATGGTGTAATCATAAAATCCAGACGATCATTACCATTGGGAAATTAATCCGGGACCTCAGAGGTGGCGAAACCAGGGTTCTAGCCATTCAGAGTTTGATATATTGCAAAAGTTACAGAAAAACACTGTATATGAAATTAAAAACCTACAAATAAAAAGTCATAACATAAAAAGCGAAGCGTAGTTTAAAGCACACAGTAAGCTAACATGAGCACGAATGTGAATATTAAATTGCATAACAATCTCCAGTGCTGAATAGCTTGTGAAAATATTTGCGAAGTCGCAACCAGATAGCGCAATGTATTATAAACGTAGAAAGTTTACTTCATCGTTTACGTGGTAACAGCCCTTCTCGAACTTTCTCGGTAATGCAAAAAAGCTGCCAACCAAACACGCAGTTACCGTTCTCATTAAAAGTTGCAAGTTTTGAGTAATTACGATGCCGCGACGCACACAACGTGTTTGCTATTTGTTAGTACGAGTTCACTTCGTTTTGTTTATTTTTTTTCTTTTTTTATCAACTGTTAATCTGACTACAACTTTGATGAATGAACTTTGTTAGTGGTCATTTTAATATGATTTGTATACGAAATAAACTAAAGAATTAATGTTTCATTGCATTAGGTACTAATCTTACTATTGATTTGGTGTATACTTATTTCACTGCTCATATTTGCTGTTTCATTAAAAATACAGCATATGACATAGAGCTGTGGCAGCAGTGGTTCAATCCAATTAATTATTAATATCTAAAAATCAAAAAAGTATAATCAAAAAGTTCGAGAGTGGGCTCTATTTTCCTAGTTTACTCTTTGCACTGACCTAAGCACTTAGATTATATAAGCCTAAACATGTTATTGTTAAAAGACAAAGCGCTGTTAAAAGAAATTGCACGGCTCTGCAACTCGACAAATGTAATGCCTTTTTTCTTCGCTCAATAATACAACAAGATATCGCCTCACATAATAATACAATACTCAAATACGTCACCATACACTGCAATAACCAAGGAGCATACTACCAGAGAGTATATTCTGTCTAGTGCATTGTCAATTTTATTTTTTTGTAAAAATATGTGTAATTATATACGGTGATAATGATAATTTAGGGAGGTAAGAGGTTTTCAATTTAAATAACAGAACAATTATACAATCTATTATGTTTGCACACAGCATAATTTAATTTTACGTTATATTTCTTATAATTAAGAGTCGACTTAGCTGCTTTAATCTCTCTTAAGTCTTAATTTAATTTTATATTCTAAAACTAAATCTAAGTCAAATATTAATTATCTTTTTATGTGAATAACATAATTAGGTTTTTCGTTATTTTGCACAGATAATTTATTAATGAATTTTTAACGTTGTAACGTTAAGGCAATTTATAGCGGAATAATCTTTCAATACTATCAAGATAGTGATGGTTTTTTTCACTATCTAGGGATTTTTTATATGAATAATTCTAAAACAAAATGTAATTTAAATTAAACATACTTAGTAATATTAATTACTAATAGTAATATTATTATTGTTTGTTTATTTGTCCTTGACTACCATAAACTACCATCAGTTCAAAATTTGGGAGTCTTGTCTGAGAAAAACTGACGAAACAAATTCCGACAACAAAGTGATTACACCTTATAATTTCAATGTTTATAGAAATTATTGCTTGGCCAAACAAAATCCTCATTGCAGTCTAGGGAGCTTCTTGTTTCTTTTTATTTAGCTAGATTTTGTTTTGTGTTTTTTCATTTTTCAGTAGTTATTGAGAATTACAGTTCTTACATTTTAAAATCGCTTTTGTTAATAAATAATTTAGGCATCCAATCCTTCCTTAGACACTTTTAAAGGCATTTCCCGTTTATTTTCTGCATAAACCCTGTCCCTTTTACGAGAGAACTCGTCGTGTTATATGCCACAACTTATAATTACGACGGCCCTTGCGCATTAAACTTGCCATTTCGCCCAATCCAGCACCTGCTACTCCTGGAAACGGTGATATTCCAGTTATGGTTTCTTTACTATTAAATTTATAACTTATACTTTCTCGCTTGTAGAGTTCCGCTGGAAAGTGGTTAGCGCGTTCGGCCCTCAATGAGAACAAGTCCACAAGTCAAGCAACGTTTGTAACGGCCGGTCATAGGATGGGCGACCAAAAAATTATTATTCGAGCTTCTCTGTGATTTGAATGGTACCTTGTGGGTTCCGGCTGCATCTGTAGACGTTAACACCCAATAATCTGCGCTGGGCCTGCGTAGTGGGTCAAGGCCGATTCTCCCTCTTCGATTTTATTCCATCCATAGGGAAGGCCTGACCCCCAGCAATGGGAACATCGAGAGATAGGCAATGACGATAATTTCTTCCCTTAGTTTTTTGTACATTTCTGATATTTTATAAGAATGATTAGAACTTTCCATTTGTAGGGTGCGTGTATTTTGATAGAAGGGAAACAAGTCAAGTGTGTAGAAAGGTCCCTGGACAACCTTTTAGTGGATAATGCATATATTATGTATGCATCTTATTCAATGAAAGGTTTGTGTACTTATCTATATTTTACGGTCGTCTATCAGGAAGATTTTAGTACGTCGATATTGTAAGCATTATAGATTCAGTTTTACTATGATAACATTGGCTATTCGCCTAGGATGTTTTTCCAATTAATTACTCTTCTCGACTATAATAGATACGAGTCTTAGATGTTTGTGGTCGGTAAAAATTCACGCTATAAAGCTGTTTAAAAAAGATTTATTTAATATTAATGAGCATGAAAATATAATAAACTAATCGCACCAATTCACATGGTATAACCAGTTAACTGACAATTTTTAGATTTTAAATAAAATTTAAGCTGCATCTATCGGTAAATTCGGGTTCATTTTGTGAAAATTGACAGTTAGCAGGTTTTCCCAGCATGGGTACGAAATATGAGCAGATTTGCATGTGAAATTATGGAATATAATGGAGTCCCAGCTATTCTCATTTCCATTACGCCGTTAATCAAATTGATACTTTGAGTTCGTCACAAATTCGTCTAAAGATTCTTTGATATAATGTCATTGGAAATTTAATTCTAAACTATTTGAAAGCAATTTCGTTATTTATTGTTTCCGTCCAATATTTGCTTGGCCGCAGTCAATTTAGTAATCCGCCTTTGTGGCCTCCGAACGGTAACCGCTTTGTGGAGCCATCTTTTACGGCGCAGGATTCCGTGAAATTGACTCGCAATTGTCCGCACGATACAAGATGCTATTACCGAGATGTATTGTAACGACCATGTGTATTGAGTTCTATTTGGATTGATTTGTTTGTTTATTATATTATATGATTTTTTTTTAAATATATTGTTTAATATATCTAGAAAAATCATCATTATCAGCCTATTATAGGGACAACCCTACTATTGGATTACAACAGGCCTTCCCTATGGATGGAATGGAATCAAATAGAGAAAATGGGCCAAACACACAACGCTGGCCTAGTGCGGATTGGTGGGTGTTAACGACTGCAGATACAGACGTGATCAACGGTTTAATGTGCCTTCCGAAGTACGGAGGGAGCCGAGATAAAAACATTTTTGGTTACCCATCATATGACCGGCCTTACGAAAGTTGCTTAACATCCACATCACAGACGCGATGACTGTTTTATTGTAAAAAATGATTTCTTTTTCAGTTACGCTATAAATTACGAATTTTATAATTTTTCTATCAACAAAAAAAAATAAGCATATGAGTAACAATACTGCTGAAAAACCAGACTAAACTTAATGTTAATCCTATGAAACTAAGTTTTCAATATTGTAATTTCTATAACAACAAAAGTTAACTTAATGATCATCATCACCATCACACCATCACCAGCCCTTTTACATCCCCAATGCAGGGGCTCAGGCCCTCCTTATGGATGGTTAAGGAGGATGGCCCATGACACTCCACGCTAGTCCAATGCGGATTGGAGGGTATTAACGACTGCAAATGCAGCCGGGACCAACGGCTTAACGTGCCTTCCGAAGCATGGAGTAGCTCGTGATAATAATATTGATCACCCATCCCGTGACCGCCCCTTGCGAAAGTTGCTTAACGATTACGATCGCAGGCCGCGGCGCTTATCCACTACGCGACCGAGCACCGACAGAAGTTTATATTATTAATGAAAAAAACTCGTTGGATATCTTATTACTGAAATTGAGTGGACAGATATGTAATATGTAATTTAGCACAATCGAAGTTTAAGTGGAGTTAAAGTGAAGAATTATTTCTCTTATAATAATACAAAAAAATATTGTATATAAAAATCAACAATATATACTCATAAAGACCATGATAATATAACAATATTATCATGTGTATGATATTTTTGTTTATTGGACGTCAAATAACCATATAGAAGGTTGAAACTAGAACTACAAAAAGGGTACCTCACCCAAGAGAACTGTAATAATATTTTAAATTTATTTCGAATTTCGACCACTGCGTGACATCGAGTCATTATGATTCTTCCATTAGAAGTGGCTAGGAAATAATGTTTAAACAAAATTAAGTTAAAATTCGAAAGTTTATTGTTTAGTCAGATAGTGGTACAATTAGAATAGACACTGTTGTATTCGTTGCATTGAATATAAAATAATAAATTAACGATTCATTGTTATTGAACACAAATCCTTTGAGGTGGCCGGTTATACCGGGTTTGGTCGGAACTCCGTAAAATTGAGTCCCGATTGCATGAGCGGTCACCGTGACGGATTAGTTCGCGGTCAGACATTTTGTGGCCTAAAATGTTATGACTACATTATGATAATAGACTGTCAAGCGAATGTTCCAGGTCAAGTAGGAAAACTTCTAGTCCCTACTCCTGAAGTATGCAAAGTACTTTTTTTTGGGATTTTTAAAAAGATCTAGCATAATTATAAAGAGTTTTAATTACTGCATGAGATATCTTTTGCCTACAACACTTATGTAGGTGTCTGAAAGAAATTGCTTTAAGCGATAAGGTCGTTTTTTAAATTACTAAATTTTGCCAACATTGGAGTATAATGAAGAATATTTGTATTGTATTATATGAAGGTTTTAAAGTGATGTAGAACTTATTCTCATCAATAAATAAAATACATTGTTAGTTGTATTCAGAATGTTATTTAAAAACAATAATAAAGAATACAAACAGTAACTTCTACATTCATATAAAGAAACAAAATGATAAGATAAAGATTCTAATATTATATACTTTGGCAATAAAAATATTGAGTATTCATTTTTATTTATATTCACCATTTTAACGATTGCCAATCTTTTTAAAATTGTAGATGACATACTCACTTTGGATATCTAAAACCTGATTCTGCAGAAGCCCAATCTGTCGGCTCTATAACCGATAGGGCATTGATTGGGCACTGATAATATTAACTTCACAGGTGTCGAGTCAACACAATCTCCATTCTCGTTTTTTATTTGACCGCTTACACAAGGATTTCCAGTATCTTTGCTTGCTTTTACAGCAACGCAATCATCACATGATTCTACTCCATTCCTCGGCTGAATAACTTCAACATCATCTTTCGGATCGTGAGTTCCTTTCAAATTGTCCACGTCATCTTCTCTAAATTTATCGTAAACAAATTTGTACGCCGCTAAAATCTGACTCACAGATTCTTTGAGAATATTGCTATTTGATTTATCCGCGTCCAATGGCTCCTCCGATGAATTAAAATGGAATATCTTTTTCACCAATACGTCGGCTAAAAATTCGTTCCATGTTACAGATTTCCCGTCGTTTCTCGGTGTGTTTTGGAAGTTTTGCAATTTTCTTAAGAGTATCCTTTGTCCTATTATTGCTTTGTTATTGTTCTTCTCTATGGCGCTTGCGTCGCCCATAATGATTATTAGAATTCCGAAAAAGCAGGCGATATTCATTTTTTTATATTTCATAACAATGGTGTTGACAATGACGACAGTAACTGAAGAAGTTTGCTAGATAACGCAGATAAGACAACCTGTGTTATGTACAGTCACTGACAACGGAATTTATTATTAGACAAAAAAAGAACTCTACGAGTCTAAACAAAAAACTCTACGAGTTTTTTTTTTCGAATTTGTCTGATGAAAGTTTTTAGTGGTAAACGGCATTAAATTTGCAAATTCGACAAAATTACGTTATGGATACTACAATAGTTTGCTTTTTTCTTAGATTAACAAATTTGAATTAAAACAAAAGAGTGTAGAAAATGAAAATTATGTATTAGAGTCATATATTATTTTAAATTAATAAGAAAATCATGAAATAATTAGCCACTTACACATTGTGATTGATTTCATTAAGCACAATAACATAAGTATCAAATTGAATAGGCTTACGTCGGTCGTCGAGTTGACGACCGACGAAAGTCTATATTGACAATAGCTTTTTAAAAGTAAAAGTTGTCAACGTAAAAATTAACTGTATTTCTTATATTGTCATGCGCATGACAACACTGCTGTTTTTTTTAATATAACCACTTCCAAACGGTTTTGACGCGTGTACTTTATTTAGAGTTTTTTTTTGAGATGGCGTTTCAGATTTTTCACACTTACAGATTTCGTGTTTAATATCTTCAAATGTTTAAAATCTATCTATATCTCATCTCCTTAGCTAGTTAGAGAGGATCAATGACAACAAAACACGTTCTTTATATACGTGTTCCGCTTCCTCCGCATTCATTACTTCTTTCATATACGATCTCCGGATTTAATGGCTACTGACATCACCGTCCCAAAATAGACGATCAATTTTATAGTGGAATGTACATCTTGACCTCTCACCATTTTTTAATGTATCGATAGATTGAAATGTTATCATTACATTAACAATTAAATTAGTAAATACAGTATCGTCGTATCTTGACTTTCAATAACGAACTGACTGAATGACTCTCAGCATATTTTCGAAACGCCTATCGCCTCGCCTGTACCTACCTGTATCTGAATGATAACGATATCGTTAAAAGTAAACATTGACTTAATGACGCTTAGTTAACGTATTAAATTAGTCAATGCATTATCACAATAACTATGGGCACTATAGGAAAATATTTGTGAATTTGTATCAAGGACGTTCGATCAGTTTGTAGATGCCTTTTATATTTGATTTATTATTAATAATAAACTATTTATATAATTTATTTTATATTTATAACTCCGGCCGACTAAGAAAATGGCGTAGTAAGTATAGAGTATTCAGTGACAATTGTGTACTTATAGTTTTAATTGTGTGGGTGTGCGTGTGTGTGTGAATGTACGTCCGTGAAAACTATGAAGTTACAAAATTTTAATTATAGTCAAAATTAAAATTGTAATGAAATATTAATTGAATAGTTACCGCGTGTAAATAATTACATTATATTACCTCACGAAATTCCCCTCAGTCTCGGTGGGTACTTGTATTAAGCTTTGGCCCCTGTCAATTCAATTTCACGGCTCCAAGACGAGTCCTTTGAGCGAGTCCTTTGAGCACCGATCGATCTGACACTGAACCTCAAGTGTTGCGTGACACTCGCGACCTTAATGCTATATACGATAGTCTTTGTTGAAATAATTGCTTTCATAATCAACGGAGGTGAATGAAGATAGAAGATCGAGAAGCTCGATGGCGCAATGGTTAGCGCGCTTGGACTGCGATTCGGTGGTTAAGCAACTTTCGCAATGGCCAGTTATAGGATGGGTGACCAAAACTTTATTGTTTTATGTCGGTCCCGGCGGTATATACAGTCCTTAACGATCACCAACTGCATTGGGCCAGCGTGGGTCATGGGCTGGCCTATTCTTCTTCTGCCATTCAATATATAGGGAAGGCCTGAGCCCCGGCAGTACATTAATGCGCTGGTGATGATGATGATGATGATGAACTGAAGATAAAGATTCAACTACAGCGTTTAATGAAATAACTTTTCGATAGCGCAAGCTTAAGAAGCTAGATAGCAATGGTTAAAATGTAGGGTTTAAGCTACCTTCACTATGGTCGGTTATAGGATGAGTGACCAAAATTTATTACCAGCCAATGTGGTGGAATATTATCTTGAGCTACTTCGTGCTTCGGAAGACACGTTAAACCGTTGGTCCCAGCTACATTTGCAGTCGTTAATACCCACCAATCCGCATTGGGCCATCGTGCAGGGTCATGGCCCATCCTGCTTAGCCATACACAAGGAATGCCTGAGCTCCTGAAGTGGGGACACAAAAGGGCTGATGATGATGGTGATGATGAGGTCCCAAAATAAGAAGTTGAAGCACTTTTATTATGAAAATCTGAAACAACAAAGATACCAAAATCACTAATTTATGGAGGATGTCAGGATGACATGTAACATGGTATTAATTATGGCAAATTTATATGTGGTTAATTTCTTTGGATTAGAGCCACACTTTTACGTCTATAGAGCTGAAGGTATTTTGTTTTATTTCGCATGGGCTCACTCTTGATTCAATCCAGCTTGGGGGTATGGATGAGACCCATAATGGAACTAGCTCACCCAAAAGGAGCCTATTCATTCTCACCTTGAATAGATTTGGATTATATGTTTTCGGGAATGTAGGTTGCTAACTTGGACTTAAATTGAATAAAGAATTTCCATAACATCATAATTCATAATTTCTATAATTTTACATTATACTGGATCCGAAAGAAAATCCTCATTAGAATTTCACTTTCTTATATTTTTAAGTACAAATAAAGAGTTTGCTTATCGTTTGGTTTTCGATGGAAACGCCAATAGGCGGTTATCCAGAGAGGTGTTCCAGCGAATTGTTTGTGGAGGGTGCGGCTGCGTGGCGGCCCGTGAAATGGACGCCGGACGTCCGGCATCCGATCCGGACGCGGCACAAAAACCCACCGTTGTGTTGTTGTACGGAAAAATAGACGATGTTGTACTCTCATTTGGAGCACTTTTAAATTATTAACTTGGAGTGGAAACTTTATGGTTATTGCCAAGTATAATTTTGTACCTCTTATATTATGTAATTAGAATAGAATATTACCTCGAGTTAAGTAACTATTTATCTTTGATAGAAGTCAGATACTTCTTAATGTTCAGATTTGTGGTATGTACATAATAAGAGTCAAGTTCGATTAGAACCTCATTAGAAATACTAGCTTTCCGCCAGCTTCGCCCATGTAGTCTTGCATAATACATAAAAAGGGTCTTTAGGAAATGAATGGTACTGCTGTTCCTTGTTTAACCTTTTTTGTCCGACTTAGCAGATATAAAACTTGCCTTTAAATCAACCTATGCATTGATAAAAAAACGAACCAAAAAGTGTAGCTTAAAAGATCACGGCGTACTCAGCGTGGGCAGCGGAAAGTGGCTTTGTTTTATACTATGTCAGATACCAATTAAGTTTTTAATAAATTTAAAAAATAATGAAAGTCGAAAATTTCCTCTATCTTAAAAATCATAAAGTCATCCATAAAATTCCTGCAATGCGATACACAAGGATAGCCTTTTGGCTTTATGCCTTAGATTAGTTTAGCTCAGTCATTTAGTCTCTTAAATTTAGTTCGTATAATTAATGGTTAGACACATTGATTTCTCTTAAATGTAAAATTAGACATAATAATTATAATTGTTTGCGAACATTAATTCAGTGGAATGTTTGTTTCACTAATTACTGGGACTGTCAGAGAGATGTACCTAGTCGCTAACGAGCCTGAAGCATTACCAGTGATGACTCGACATCGAAAAATAGTTTGCCGACTAGTCTATGAGCTGCTGGTTTATCTGCAATAATTAAACGCAAGGATTTATTAAATTAAACTTTTTTGGATATATTTCATTTCAGCGATACGTTAAAATTTATGATTAAAATACTTTATTACTTTTTTAAATACTTTATTAATTTGAATGTATGATGAAGCGTTTGGATACATGAAATGTAACTGATATTGCGGAATAAGAACTGCTATTCATAACTTGTTATTTTCCCGCGCATTCGCCCGCATAAATTGTCTATGGCACCCGCGTATGGTGTAGCATCCCGTAAGTGAATTTTTTTTTAACATCGATCCAACCCTGCGGTTCACGTCATTTAGTGTAGAAATTCTATTGATTCCTTTTTTTGTACATAAATACAAAACAAAATTTATTGAATATACGTGTCTAAGGAATTCTATTCTTATGTCATTTTGAAATTCACTTCACTTATGTCACTATTACCAATTCAAGATTGAGCGGATGCCGCTTTTTTAAGTGAATTCGGTCACCTGAGTGAATTCTAATTCGGGTTTGGATTTTACAGAATCGCAGGGCAGTATTCACAATGCGTATAAAACGTTATTATACAATGTATTTAAATAAAGAAAATAATGAATATTCTTTTTATTCTCACATTGGAAAAAGAAAAATCACGAGAAAGAAAACAAGTACTGTATTCGATCAGCGTCTCATCTATCAGTATATTATGTATGTCCCCATCTCTTTTATATTCAAAGGATCGCAAATAGAAATCTGTTAGTGGCCCCATATCTCCCGGATAACCAAGTGTGGGACAGGCTGGCCTAATTTCCCGGGGGAACATACAGTCTTGCCAGCCTTGTAATTACCTTTCGTATAGGGGAATTGTTTTTCTTTATCACCAATGATTTGTTAACGGAAAACTGATTTAGAAGAAAGTAATCAAATATGAAGTAGTATAACTATAATGGAATACTGAAATTACTTTCCAAATAATTATTTATAGAAATTTTAAAACACTTGAAATATCAATACGGACCGATTGCGAATTATGGAGACTTATTGTAAATTTACAATAATTTCTCTATTAGGAGGCATTATAATAATTCTATTAGGGATTATATTCCATATTATTATTTTCACTTAAAATACGATTTAAAACATGTTTCATATTAAGACGTTTCTTGATTTTAATTTGTAACCCACAGGTACAATAACAATAAAAGAAATAATGGCCTGAACA